TTTTTTGAGTGGACAACTGGACACAAAGAATGTAACATAAACAATGGAACACAAACTGACAAAGTGGTAAAAGTCTGAAAATACAGTTTTGTTTTGTTGCAAAGCTAAACTGTTGCTTGATGATGTAAGCATGGTGTAAGTGTCAATCTGATAAAAAATCCCAGTCGAAGGGCAAAGCACTCAACGGAAGTCAAACGCGCTCAACAGATACTGAAGTGACGTCTCAAGGTTAATTTTTACATGAACTCTGCGGAAAATAAACATTTTGAAAAGTGTTTCCTTAATTATGTTATTCCGTTGCACAGGACAGAAACGAAATATCACGACAAATGCAAGAAGCACACCGGCGATAGTTTATCCAAGATGAAACGACAATGATGATGATTTCCTATCAGATGCTGAAATAAGCACTCGAAAACGTACCGCAGATGAATATCTTAGTTTCAGCGAATTTGAATCGTCAGATGATGAAGCATCATTTGCCGGTAGGTTAGTCTGCATCATTTTGAAATAAGATAACCCAAAACAAGTTCATTTCAAGTATTTTACAGAGCAAGATAACATTCATATAAAAATAAGTAATTTTTCCATGTTATAGGAAAATGATGTTACTCAAAAATATATAGTTTTTGACAGCTGTCTAAGAAAGTTGTTCTCTCAGTGTCGACACTGTGGTGGTCACTGCAATATCAACCAGAAGCATTGGAGCATGGTGAACATCATCGCTAAATGCTCAAATGGCTTTCTTAATAATTGGAATAGTCAACCTACTCACTCAGTCAGATGCCATTGGGTAATCTCTTGCATCTGCCAGTATTCTATTGTGTTAACAGCCCATCCAAAATCCTGCAATATTTTCAACAAGCAAATGTACAGTTCATTACTGAAAGGTGCTACAACTATATACAAAGTAGATATCTTATTCCAAGTGTTTTGAATGTTTGGAAAAAGCACCAGACTATTATGATGATGACAGGCGTCAGGGAAGCAGGTTATTGGGGTGATGGATGATGTGATTCACCAGGCTATTGTGCAAAAATATTGCTCATACAGCTGCATGGATTTAGAAAGCAATAAAATTCTAGACACACAATTAGTTTAGGTAACTAGCTCAATTCATTGTTAGTTTAGTATTGTATTAAAACAATTATTAGGCAAACACATTTTAGGAAATGTGTAATATGTACTTATACAACATGAATACAATGTGTGTAACTAAATCATGTGATATACACCAACATACATGCATACTTGCAGACATGCATATCCCAAACACTGTATGATTTTATTTACATTAATATATCTATTACAGTCAAATGAAGTTGCAAATTCAGGGGCAATGGAATTGGAAGGACTGAAAAGATCTAAACTTATTCAGTCACACACAATCTTCAAGTGATTCATCTTATCACAGACAGGCATTGCCAAGTTAAAAATACATGAAAACCCAACAGCCAGGAGTGAAGCACTATTTGATGTTTGGCATGTGGCAAAAGGTAAAATTAAGGCTACAAAAGCTGCTCAAAGTACAGCAATGGGTCTTAAAATAAAGTACTTCCTGATTTGATCAAAGAGTATCTTTATAATCATAAATTACCAAGTGATTAAGAGGTTTTAGAATTTTTCTAATTGCATTTAATTTCATGATATTTTGATCAGTTATTGCTATGTTTTGCATTACAATTTTAACCAATGTACAGTGTCTATTTTTCTACAGGTATCAAAAAGGTAATGTCAGCCGGTAAGAAGAGTGGATGTAGATTGCTACTTGATTGGGCACAGTCAATATCTAACCATGTCTACTGGTGTGCTGCAAGTAGTGGTGGTGATGAGAAACTACTTAAGGCTAAATGGCTATCATTGCTGAATCACATTTGCAACATTCATGATGGTCATAATTATTTCCAAAATGTGAGCATGGTACTCTTGAGCCTCGCTTATGGATAAAGAAAGGTACAAATTAATCCTAAATGCTCTGGTATAAGACAATAGTTATTTACAGTAATTGATACTTTCTTTATCAACAAACTTCAATTGCCAGCCAATGCCACAATGTGGTGTTATTTGTCAACATATGACATAAATGGGCACCATAAAATTTTCTATCTTTTTTCCAAGGATCTAGAGCATTTACTGAATTGGCATCGATTGTTGAAAGCTGGTATCTCATGAAAGATATTGGGAAGCTCAGCCATGAGAAACAAACATCAGCTCTTGAAGGTTTTCATCGAGTTGTTATACTATATGCACCAAAGCATACACATTTCTTTTATAAGGCAATGCAAGCTAGGTAAACAAACAATAAACAATGTTGTTTTCAACTGAAAATGATTGCAAGGTGGCACACTAAAAGTAAAATTAAATTTTTAGATTACTGATTGCTGCTCTCTATTTCAATGAAAATGGAAGTAAAGAACAAAGGCATACAAAAGAAAATGGGGAATTAATGTGGAAAGTGTCTCACCCCAAATCAAGACAGTCATGTGGAGTCATCAAAGGTGTTAAAATTGATAGTACTTATGCTAAGGACAAGTTTTAGCACTCAAAAGCCAAATAATTGTTCTACTGATGGTACATTTCTTGCACTTCTCAGTTTAATTCTTCTCCCCCTGTTTTACAGACTATGTGAAACAACTAATGGAGGAAGTGATAAGGTGCAGACATGCTAATTCCAGTTTAAACCAAGCAATTGCAACAGAAAGACAACAAAAAATACCAGATCCACTGACTAGTAGAGTTGAAAAAGTTGATAAAGTAACAGCAGTGCAACAACATACTTCACGATTCAATCTTAGCTAAATTGAAGTCTAACACTCACAGGTATTTATAAATGCTGTGCATATTCAAAGCCTTTATATATGCCAGAAGGTGAAGGAAATGCTTTCCTTATTTCTTTAACAGCACAGGATGGTATAGGAAGTCGATATTTCTTGCCAAGCTTTCCATGTATCCATGCTGTCCATTGCCTATAGGCAGTGTAAGCGAAAGTTCTGGGAAACAAAACAAAATCAAACATAAGCAAATTATTGTCGATATATGAGGAGATATCAAAAAGCTGAAACTGACTCGGTTTCTGGAGCGTCTGGTATTGCCCGTGATCGTGAATGAATACAACCATAGCTGTTCTAACGACTGTTTCGTTGATGCAGACCATGTGAAACTCTTGTTCTTCTGTGATGCATAAATGGTCACCATGAATTTTAGGGTCTGTCTTGGTTCCTCATGGCAACAAATGCTTTCCCGGCCGGTTGTCATCGCCACACAGTGTCCACACTCACACCTGCCATTAAAATAAAGAAAAGAATTTTATGACGCGATCTGAAATGTTAATCATGAAAAAGCAACGCACCAGTTTGTATTTCCAATCCTGTGAGTATATTCGTCAGATGAGCTGTCCATTGACGACGACGAAGACAGATCTTCGTCAGTTTCAACATTATTGCTACTAGCTAGCGGTTCAAACATGTAAGGCTGGACCTCCGTAGCAATATATTCGATGTCAAATTCGACTTCTTCCTCCGTTGAAGACATCGAGATAAACACGCATTAATAATAGCAGCAACAACAAAAGAAAATTGGCGAAATTTAATTTTACTGCTACTGGCTGCACTGAGAAAAACATGCAATGGCAACTATTACGTCAAACTCGCCTAGCTTGGGTAATTCAAATTCGCTCGCGCTATTTGAATTCGGCCTTCGAAATCGTCAATGTCATGAATTCAGAAGACCATATCTCATAAAATATAAAACATTGGACTTTCAAATTTGGCGAATAGGCTAATCATTAGCTAAGCTTTCATATGAAGCAAAGTTATATCAAGCATTTCAGGTGACCTTTAATACCCTGCAATATACTTGTGTTTAGTATCGTCTTAAAGATCTTGTTAAGAGGATTACAAATATGTTCTTATTATCATGGCCCAAATTCGTGGAGCAATTCTAAAGCTTAGAAAATACTTATGACTTTTGCGTTAATTAATATTTGCTGTACTTAACTGACATGTTTATTTATACCTAATTTTGAAGAAGTTAACACGCTGCAATATACTTGTGTTTAGTATCGTCTTTAGTAGCGTCCTACGGTGCCCAAGGCATTTTCTTATCGCGGTACCCTATGACGCATTGTTACTACCTTTTAGCATGGATCGCGGAGCACATGGCATATTTGCCACTGTTGGATATCGGCGCTGGTCATAAGACCATAAGTTTGTTCACACTGTACAACTAATGATAAACATTATTTTCTATTTAGAAATGGCTGAAAAGAAGCACGGAATGGTAAAACGATAAGTAACATTTTTGCAGTTTCTTAGTTTTCTGCATTAAGTGAAAAGAAATATTGCAACTTGTGTTTATGGCAAAGTGTGAAATGTTCAACAATAGTTGATTCAATTTTATTACATCACCATCAACCTTACTTAAACGTGCTTATGAGATAGAATAGTCTCAAAAAAATTGTGTTTATTAACATGCATGTTATCCAATCAGTTTAATGTGTTCTTTGTTTCAGATACTCAAAACAAACGATAGAGGGGGATAAAGGTGAGCCAGTTCTTCAGAATAGATATAAAATTTCAAAAATGTTAATAGCTAAATACATGTGCATGCAGCTGACTCAAAAATATCTCTTTTTATGAATCATCTTAATCAGAAGAAACAAATCGAAGAAGCAAAAAGGTTTGTTGCATAATTTTACAATATATCGACTAAGAGTGTTTTTTGTACTTGTGCTTAACATAGTACTTATACATGTATGATAACTGAACATCTTTATGATCTTTTTCATGTTAAGTTAATGCCAATGAATATAGTATAAAAAGCAGCTCTGCAACACTGTAAAATTCACCCTCGCTTTTATAACAACCATCTAAATGCATTTTGCGAAATGCAAAACTAAGTATTGTAATGCCTAAGTATGTATTTATATTTTTCTTTAACATGACCAAATCAGGAGAAACTTCAGAACAGGTTTCCAATTATAATACATGTTTTTTTTGTATTTTGTTGGGCATGGAAAATCTCTAATGTCTATCGTTCGCAACTTTTTAGCAGACGTCGAAAAGCAAGAAGAAATCAGTAAGTTTAAACTAATGTCACACTTGTTCGCACAAATTATATATGTTGATTTTATTACTTTATTATTTCAGAATTTTTACAGATGCAATAAGGTGGGGCACGCCCCTGAAGAGTGCCCTACCAAACCGCGTCGAGGAAGCAGGGTAGCCGGAGAGGCCCCGGCGGACGGCGTAGTCGGCGTAGCCCAATGGCGTGGCTGCGGAGGATGGCGTGGCCAAATAGTCATAAATATATTTACAAGGTGAAACGATTTTCATTAAACATATACCAAAAAGTTTAAAAATTTAATTGATCAATTAAGTAGTGAAGTGTACAAAAAAAGAGCTTTTTAAACTATATTCGCGCAGAATAAAAAGAAAACATTCTGATTCTGAAACTATTTGACCAATCAAACACAAAACTTATTTCAAAACAATGCAAAAAATAAATATGAATTCCTTTTGTTATCTTACATTGTTCTTACCATCTTTTGCAGGGAGTCAAGACGTTATCCATAAGAAAAAGTTTAAAACAATCTCTAAAAAAAATAAAAATATTCTGAAAAACATCTTTCCTGTGTCCAATCATTATTACAAACAACTATTCATTATCAAACAATAAAATTCGCCCTGATGGGGGGCAAATTTAGGTCCCTGTTGTATTGCGACCTTGTTTCGTGAAGCACTAAAAAAGTATACACGAAGACATAATCATTTTGCCATCTGCTATCCTGTTTTTGTTTGGCTTGTTCTTTAATATACTGCATGTAAGTTTTTTTCGTTCTTAAGGAAATTTATTAACTAAAACGCCAAAAAATGTTTTTTGCGAGCTGTTATTGTAATTATATGTTGTTTATAATCTATATGATATGTTCATTCAAAGAAACAAACAAAACATTTTTCTTCCTATTTGTAATCCTCACAACAAGATCTTTAAGATTATACTAAACACAAGTATACTGGTACACGAATTTGGGCCAGGATAATACAACCATATTTGTAATCCTCAAAACAGGATCTTTAAGATGATACCAAACACAAGTATGTTGCAGCATGTTAATTTCTTCCAAATTAGGTATATATAAACATGTCAGTTAAGTACCGCAAATATTAATTAACGCAAAAATGCTCTACCTTTCTCAAGCTGTAGAATTGCTCCACGAATTCGAGCCAGGATAGTAAGAACATATTTGTAATCCTCAGAACAAGATCTTTAAAGGGGAACTCCGCCCTCACATGTTGGTCTTAAAACTTTGTCTGTCCTGTGAAAATAAATATGCGGCAATTTTTTTGTTTGTTTGATTCAATATTTTCAAAAAAAATGAGTTGAAATGCTGCAGCTAGGGCATCCGGTGCATAGGAGAAGAAATATGTCAGCAGCTTGTATTTGAAGCCATATCGTCAATTGCTGCTCAAAGCCTTATGTAAAGTCATTGCGCAGTCATAACAAACTTGCCTCAAAATGCTTCTCCTAATCACAAAAAGTTTCTTTTCGAAACGTCAGAATTTTTTATCCATAAGTATATACACAAGCAACTTTTATAGCTTACCTGCAAGTATTGAGCTGGTTATTTGTATTCTGTTTTAATAGAACGGTTTCATATCCATAAAAGCCATTATCGCACAGTTTCTGCACTACATAGAGAATTTAACTATTGATTAATATTATTTTTTAAAAAATACTAAGGTTTATTTGTGTGGAAACTGTGCTGTAATGCCGTTTGCTTCGTTTGCTTGTCCACTGAATTCGACCTTAACAACAGTTTCTACTGATGTGAACCCAGTCTATTGCCATGAATAACATTGAATAATAATAAAACATGGTTGCGTAATTTAGATTCATTATGGTTAGAAAATAATCCTACATAATAATAATAATAATAATAATAATAACATTGAATAACATTGAATAATAATAAAACATTGTTGTGTAATTTAGATTCATTATGGTTAGAAAATAATCCTACATAATAATAATAATAATAATAATAATAATCGTGCATAGAATTTAGGTGTAGTTTCCTTGATGTAAAGTATGAACGATAGTTTCCTAATTATTTGTACATAATTTCCCTTTTAAGTCACATTTGGGAAAAATTGCCAGTGCTATGAAAAACAAACACCCTTATATTGATCACCAATATGATGTGTGGCATTTGTCTAAATCTGTCACAAAAAACTAACAAAGACTAACAACGGAAATGACTTGACCCATTGGATTAACGGACATTGGACGTATAATTTAAGTTAGGCTTAATTAACGGGAAATATCGCATAGACTTATAATATACCTTTGTTAGTTCAACCAAAGTTTTTGTCTTCATGTAACAAAGGTTTTCTGACTCCAATTTCAAAGTTCCGCCAACCATTTTGATTTGTTTTGAATATAATGAGATATGCAGATTTATGCAATGAAGTCACAACTGGGAGGCATATCTGGTAACACAATATACTTTTATATGTGTTTTGATGAAGTCAGTGTGAATTATTCTTAAAAAAACGTTTTTTCACACTTTTTTTACATCATGTACATGCAATATACATAATGAAATAAATAAAGAAAAATAAGTTATTTATTTATATATTCAGTATACATTTTGTATGGTTGTATCGGAGCTTGTTCGTGTCCATGTTCATTTCCACTCGTAGGAAATCGTAGACGATTAAAAACATCAACAAATATGACAGCTAAAGCTTCATGAAACATATTCGCCAAAGTCTGAGAGATGATTACAAATAGAAGAAAGTTTTAAGAATTGTATTTTTGTAGACAGCAGATTTTGTTGTAAATTGTAATGTTATGTTGTGTAGTGTGTGACTTTGTCATATTATAGATCATAAGATATAACGGATATTATGTTGATGTAAAATAGTATAGTCATGTTAAGAGAACACTTCCTCACAAATCGCCATTGCGGTAGGATGTAGGTAGAAACGGATGGCAAAGTTGTGCGTCATATGTAGACGCCCAAAAACCACTTCCGACTAATTATACATAAATATAGCTTGCAAGCGTTGGTTCGGGAGTTCGGAAAAGTTGTAGTTATTGGTGTATGAACTGGTCATACAAATTTGATGAATTAGATTCGTATTGCAGAAGGCAGATTGTGCGAAAGATTTCAGCGATCATGTACTGCGCAGTATATGGATGTTACAGTAACAGCAAAAATAATTCTGACCATTCTATTCATTTTTCACTTTCCCAAACGGCGTAAAAATACAGATGAAAAAACGAGAAAAATTTGGATTGAAATTTGTAAAAGAAAGGGTTACAAACCTAAAAAGAACTCGACTATTTGCTCTGCATTTTGAGAACGATGCCTATATATCATCCTGTTCACCGTCTTTTCTAAATTCAATTAACTTTTCGGGGAAAAAGAAAGCAGTAGTTAACTAATATATATATATATATCATCGCAGGCTCAAGTTTTTTTATTATAAAATGTATTATGTCTAAAAATAGTCATAATACATCTTATAATAAAAAAAAACGGGGGGATCGTTTTTGATGGTGTCAGCGGTAGTAAATATAAAAATAGAGAAGGGTGAGCCTGTGATAATATACATATATATATTAGAATAGTGAATAGTGAATAAGAGTAATATAAAATATATAAGTAAGAAGATTTTATAAAAAAAGATATATTTCAAATACAATAGAAAATAATTACATTGATAAAAGTCCAAAGTCCAATTTTTTTAAAATGATAATATGGAAAGTCCAAAGTCCAATTTATTGATGATACAAATTGTCACGCTTCAATGCTTCAACAACATTAAAGAAACGATAAAAGGAATCAACTTTTTCACCAAATTCTTCATCCCAAAACCAGTTAAGCCAATCTTCTATTTGTAAACAAAGACATGAATAAAAACTTGACCCAACTTGTATGTTACACATTCTAAATTTTGCCAAAGTCCAATTTACTGATGGTATAAATTGTTTCGTTTCAATATATCATCGACAAGAAAGAATCGCAAATATGACTGTCTTTTCACCAACTTTGTTGTCCCAAAACCAATTAATCCAATCTTCTATTTGTACACAAACGCATGTAAAAGAATTTGTAGAAGACGTTATGTCGCACATTGTACACACACATTGTAAATGAGGGTTTCTTTTATTGCTTTGAGTTATTTCTTAAAAAACGACTTCAAACGATTGCAAACACCAACATATTTATATTTTTTTTGCCTTATCCATAAATAAAAGAATAGGGAACATATTCAACTTCACCTCTATTTGATTTATATGGAAATTGAAAAGCTCATCATCTCCTTCATAATAAAGTTGATTCTGTTGAATTTTTTCTTGTTGATTATTCAACCAATGAATAATATTTCCTCTCAAAGAAATTCATTTGCATTGTAGCTGAAAATACATTTTCCATTGGGATATTCTTTAGAGTGTTTTTCAACATAGTTAATACAGTTAACTGGTTTAATATTTTCTCTTGTATTTCGTCTTGATGCATTTATTAGTTTCTTCGACATCATGTAAATAATACCATGAAAGCAAGCCTCACATTGATTACTAGTAACGAATCATTGTAATGCTTCCTTTTATGGGTTTTTTATTTTTATTTTTTTATAAGTACAAACATTTTTACCCAAATAATTTTATTTTGAATTAATAAAAAATCTTTTTTTCTTACTTTATATCTTTTTCTACTTTTTCACACATTTCTTTTATATTAAACTCAAATTCTATTCTTAGATGATTTATTAATTCATCAATTTTCTCTGTAAGTCTTTCTTCAATTTTTTTTATTTCTCCTTTTATTACTGGTATTATTTTGTTAAATTCAGAAAAAACTTTTGAATTTACAGAAGATTCAATTTCACAATAGATACATTTTGTACATGTTGATTGCTTACATATTTTTAGAGGAGAAATACGGTGTGAATTAAAATTATTAAATTCATGAAATGTTTGCGGTTTTTTTATATGAAATATTTCCAAATCCACCATAATTTTTGGAAGGGTTATCCACATCATTTTTTTCCATCTTTTTTTATCCAATACCAATGTGGTTATCTACTCTACATTGATATTAAGGATTTATATATTACATTTTTTAGTAAATAAATAAAAACATATTTCTTATTTTATAAAAATAAGAATTTCTCAATTTTTCATCATATTTCTTTTTTTCTTTTTTTAAAAAAATTCGAATTTCTTACCCTTTTTATCGCTCTTTTAATGTAAAATCTTCAATAAAAGATTTATTTTCATTTGAATGTTTTGCTGTCTAATTGATAATGGTAAAATCTTCAAATCATAGCATTACTTTTATATTTGAGCGCGATGAAGATTTTGATGAAGAAAAAGATTTAAGTCAAATTATTATGAAATCAGAATATATATCTAAATTCATTGATGGTGGTGGAATGATTATTTTTAATAAAGAAATTGAAGATGGAAGAAAATTTAATTTCAAATTATGCGATGAAGGGATGATAATCAGCGAAAAAGATAGTATTGACATATTTATAGAAAAATTGGAAGACTACTTTTATGATCATGATGAAAAAGAATTTTATAAGCACATTACACAATTGGATTTAGTTAAAGTGTTTTATAAAAATATTATTGAAAAAATTGTAATAGTAACTATATGATATATATAAGATGGTAAAAGTAGCGGGTATTGCATAATATAATTTCTTACTGGTAAAATGACTGTTTTGTACAGAATTATTGTATTAATTGCTGAAATTTCGGAAAAATGGTTGCGGTCTTCAAAT